GGCTGCTCAGCTCGGGCTGGACTCGAACAGCTGTTGCTCAGAGCTCAAACTCTTGAGCGAGCTCTTAACCAACTGAGCCACTCGGCCGGCCCTCATTCCTGTATTTTAAAACAAATTTCCTGTGACACTCGGAGCCTGCTAATAAATCTGTCACAATCCTACCGTTTTTTGTGTTATTTTTTTTCAAATCTCAGAATGATTTACAGAAAACAAATACCTTGCCTTCCCTCAGGTTTGACTAGGACAAATGACTCTATAAATGTTGTGGGATAATAAGAAAGTATGGTGAAACATTTGTAGACTTTTTCATGAAAGTCATCAGGGAGAAAGTAGTTATTTTACTCCCTATCACAGAAGCATCATCTTTTCATTTGGTTATAATATTCATCCAGAATTTAACCCCTCATTTGCTTGGCTATCCTGAAAACAAGGTGTAATTGGTCAAATGAGAAACAGAGTGAAAGCATATATATATATATATATATATATATATATATATATATATATATATATATATATATACAATAATCCTCATTATAGTGAAATTAAAGTACTACCCCAGTACTGACAGATTTCATAAAGAACGTATCAGTTTTAAAGTGAAATAAATGTTAAACCCTTTTAAAAATTAATTTATTGAAAATATGGAGTTGGGGAAGAACTCAAGTGGTAGTGTAATTAGATTTCCTAAATTCATCTTTGGAAGTGGTCTCACCACATGTGTAAGCTGAATTATTTCTCTACTTACTATACATTGCAGCCTAACTTGATTAGCTTATTTCAATTATATTCTTTATTTCAACATGTTATTTTTAAAAATTTCAAACTGACAGGAGAGTTTAAAAAAATAATATAATACCACTATGCTGTACACCTGAAGCTAATACAATATTGAATATCAATTGTAATTGAAACATTTTAATAACGGGGGATAGGGGAAAGGGAAAAAGAGGTTCAAATTTCCAGGTATAAAAAAAATAAGTCATGGGGATGTAATGTACAGCATGGGGAATATAGTCAATTATATTGTGATAGCATTGTACGATGTCAGGTGGTTGCTGGACTTATCACGGTGATCACTTCTTTAGGTATATAAATGCTGAATAACTATGGTGTACCCCTGACACTCATATAATATTGTATGTTAGCTATGTTTTAATAAAAATATTTTAAAAAAATATTATAATGAACACCCAATAGCCCTCACCAAACTCCATCAATTGTTAACTCTTGCCATATTTCTGTGTGGTGTGTGTGTTTGCTAAATCAATTGAAATTAATTGACTGATATCACCTCTGAATACTTTAGCATACATCTCTTTAGAACAAGGACATCCTCCTACATAACCACAATACCATCACTGCACTCAAGACAGTTAACAAATCTCAAGTTATATACCAGGGGTGCCAAAAAAAATGTACGTATACAAGTGCCCTTTGGTCAACATTGCTCAAGCAGTAGTTCGCCGTAATCAGAAGGGTCTGGATGCTGATGGTAACCACTTTGAGCACCTCTTGTAATTGCAGAAGTCAAACGTGACTTGCATTCATCTTTTGCTATCGGTATATATTGAGTATTACAATTTAAATACAGTTTTCTTTTCTTAAAATGTGTATACATTTTTTGGCACCCTCTGTATATGTCTAATCACTATGTTATACACCTGAAACTAATATAATATTGCATGTCAATTGTAATTGAAAAATTAAAAAATGATCTAAAAAATAAATAAAGGAAACGGGTCAAAATGCAAAAAAACCCAACATTTAGCATTGATAAAAACACCATCTAATATATAGTTCATAATCAACTGTACCAAACTGTCATAATGTCTTTAATCAATTATTTTTGGACAAAGGATCCAATCAAAGATCACACAATGCATTTAGGAATCATGTATCCTTTAATTTAGAAGATTCTTCCTCCTGCTCCCCACTTATTTTTTTCTATCTTTCATGACATGGACGTACTTTGAAAAGTTCAGGTCTGTTGTCTTGTAGCATGTCCTACAATCTAGATTTGTGTGACGGTTTTCTCATGAGAGTTAAGCATGTTTGTGGAAAAAAATACACATGCATACTGTACATTCCTGTTGTTTTCCAAACACATCCTATGTTTTCCCATTTCTGAGACTTTCCTCACACAGACCATATCTTTAATTAATGCCCTTCCCCCACTGCGTCTCTACAAGGCCCAGTTCAGTATTTAACCTTCTCTAGGCGATTTCCCTAATGCCCTTCATCCTGATATAATATTTGACTATCAGAATACTTTAGCTTTCCTTTTCTTACAGTATTTACATCTTTTTTTTTTACTTTGTATTATTATTTTTTCATGTTCACGTATTTTTTTAATCTTCTCTCCAATGAAAGCTTCCTAAGGGCAGGACTAATTTATCTTTGAACTCCCTGGAATCTAGCATAGAGTGGTTCACAAAGTAGACAATCAATACATGTATTTGTTGAATGAATGAATAAGTGATTAAAAATGTTATCTCAGTTTCTGAGATACAGTGACTTGGTTAAGAACTTAATGTTTCTTTAAAAGGTTTGAATAATTTCTTCATAAGTGTACTTTCTGCACACAAAATAGTCGATATAATTTTTTAAAAATAAAATTTTAGTTTTAATAAAAATGAAATATTAATATGTATATTATATGCCTTGGTATAGCTCTTTTAAAAATCAACTTGCTAAGCATTGAGGGAAGCCTTTCAATCTTTTTTTTTTTTTT